TTCCTAGTTCTAGCCCTACATTGCTGTCTTTGTGGTACTGGTGCTGGGGAACCATCCTTGGATTCTTGCACAGGGTGGTGATTTACACAGTGGCTTATACTGATATTCACCAAGATACTAAGTGGGTTTTTTTTTTAACTCCTAAGAAAATACTAGTTAATAATACACCACCAAAACTACAATATCTTTCCCTTTTATCTTGTCATTTTATGGGTAGATTTTTTTTTTCAATTTTGTTGTATACTGTAAAATTACCTTCCAGTGTAAAGATATGTATAAAATGCTGCTTTCTGGGTTACAAAAGAGGTAAAGATATAGTACATAAATGCAGTCACCTACATTTCTATAGATAATCCTATAAAGATACATAGGAATAAGTTGAGGCTAGTTATTCCCAGAAGAACTAGGTGTCTAGCAGGGAGGGTAGGAAAGAGAATTTTCACTCATTCCCTTTTGTACCTTTTGGGGTTGAACCATATAAATTACCTCACTCCCATACATAGAAAACATAAGCCAATAAAAATTTCATGCCTAACCTTTTGAAGGGGTTGTTTTCGTGCCTTGCCATGGGAGTGCTACTGCCAAATTAACATGACTGAGGAAAAACAGGGCTTAAGTACTTGGTCAGTAAATGGCATCTGTGGACTGTGAGGGAGGAAGTTCAACTCAGTTGTCTAGCATCACTTGGGTTTTATGATCATTTTCTATTTTTAAAATTCTTTTATTTTCTTCCCAATTCAATTAACAAGTTTTTATTTAGTGCCTACTCTCTGCCCAGTACCGTCCTAGGAATTCTAGGAGATATAAAAGAAGCCTCCATGAAACAATTTTTAAAATCCCTGCCCAGTGTGGAGATCACTGTGGAATGGGGTGGCTAGGAAGTTGTCTTGGGAGCAAAGTCTTGAGCGAGAAGGGGAAGGTTCAGACCAGCGGGAGGGGCGTTGGAGGCGCTGCTGCCTAAGGAAAAAGGCTTGATGCGGGTAGAGAGACCCAGGATAGAAGAGACAGGCCAGTTTAGAAAGCCCGTCAGGGTAGGGCTGTCAAGCTTAACCTTGGGAGTCTGCTAGGGGAGAGTGATAAACTCAAGAAAGAGGTGAGCCAGCAGTAGAATGGGAAAGTGAGAACTGAGGAACCAGATGCAAAGCCACCAACCTGGCTGCAATAATCAGGATGCAGAATGGTGAGGGTTTGGGTTAGAACGCACGTGGGGAACAGAAGAAAGAGTTCCTGAGACACTGCAAAGGAGGACACATCAAATCAGGTTGAAAACTAAAAACGACCAGTCCAACATAATCCCAGTATTTCTAGCCTAGGAGCCCAGAAATATGACTCATTTTCAGGGCTTTTTTTTCTTTCCTTACATACAAATTGAGCCCCTTGTGGAGTCCAGTGGAAGTATCAATTATAAAAAGAATTGACCAATCCCCTCCCCGCCTAAAAATACAGGTAGTTTTGCAGCTGGCTACACGATCCAAGCTGAATCTTGCTGGGCCTTTCCTTCAATAGTACTCAGGCACCCAGGACAGGGGCCCCAACCAGGCCTGGCTCTGTGTATAGTATGTTTATTATACACACCAGAGGTCCCTCCTGCACAAGGGCCGTCTCACGCCCAATAAGCACTCAGTAAGTGTTTGATAATTGTTGTGGAGAGTGAGATTTAAATGTAACATTGCAAAACTTTCCGGAATTCACAGTATTGAAAAAGAAATCATGGAAATTAAAGTCTACATAAATTCTCTGCTTCAATTGCTCAAACCACCTGCCAAGCAAAGATCAAACACTACTGTAATGGTGGTAGGGTCACGCGGTTTTCTTCCTCACCTTATGTGTTGCAATAATGTAGTTCAGTTTAAAAAAAAAAAACCCAAGAAAAACAGAATAATGTGAAGCACTACTGGTAGGGCCTCGAATTAAATGAAACCGTTCGCGTATTTTACGCTAGCTGAGTGGATAGTTATTATTCCCCATTTTACAGGACACAGGTACAAAGAGACTAAGAAATTTGCACGAAGTCACCCAACCCAGGTAGTGAGCTCTGCAGCAGTTGAATCCAAACAGCCGGTCACCATCCGTACAGCTCCAGCCTGTATTGCATTCGCATACAGTTCTCTTTGGGGGACCAGATTATTTGAAGCTTTCCAACTGTTCTGTAGGAAGGGTCTTTTCCCATCCAGCCCTGACCAGGGTCCAGGTTTACGGAATACTGTACATCCTTTGGAGCAAGCACTACACGAAGACGTGCAACACCTGAATCGTGATTAAGAAACTTACAAGAACAAACTCCACCAACAGCATTTTACAGGGCACCACCTCATCATAACGCAGGAATACAACCCTTCCCCTGGCAAGGAGCTAATATCCCCCTCCCCTCATTTTTATTAAAAGCCCTGCTTTATTTGGAAACTCTTAAAATAAGCGGTCACACGATTAAAAAAAGCCGCGGCGCGCCCCCTCCCCGGCGGCAGGGCGCAGCTGTCCGCGCCTCCCCCGCGCCCCGCCGCCCGC